GTCTGGGAAGATCCCACATGCCACGGAGCGGCTGGGCCCGTGAGCCATGGCCGCTGAGCCTGTGCGTCCGGAGCCTGTGCTCCGCAACAGGAGAGGCCACAACAGTGAGAGGCCCGCATACCGCAAAAAAAAAAAATAAAAATACGGATGATCTTTGAAGACATTATGTGAAGTCAAATAAGCCAGACACAAAAGGACATATAATTCACTTATATGAGGTAACTAGAATAGGAAAATTCAGAGAGACAGAAAAGAGAATAGAGGTCATTAGGGGATATAAGCTGGGCAGGGGTGAAACAGGAGGGAACGGGGCAGGGCACAACCTTTAAAAGAATGACAGAGCTGTTGGATATGACATAACCTGGTTAGAACCAACTAGGTTCAAGATGGCAGAAGATTCAAGTTCCAGTGACACTGAGCCTCATTATACGCTCAACATAATACATTAGCTAAATGACATATCCACAGGTGCCATGATGTTTCTGAGGCTGACCAAAAAATGTCAACAAGTGGGTGGGGCCCAATTCCTGGAAATCTTCTCCAAGATAGTTGGAATAATCCCCCCACTCCTTTCCTTATGAAATTACCCAGCCCATAAAAACTAACCATGCCATATTTCAGGGCCTCTCACCTTCTGAGATGGCCCACACTCTGTCTGTGGAGTGTGTTTCTCCCAGGGCCATGCTTGCCTTTTAAGATGGACTGCATTCTGTCTATGGACCGTGTATCTCTCTAAATAAATGCACTTCTTACCTATCACTTTGTCTCTCACTGAATTCTTTCTGCGACAAGACATCAAGAACCTGAGCTTCATTAAGTCCTGAGACCAGGTATGTGATCTCACCTAAAAGACAGTGAGTTCAAGTCCCAGTCTGAGTCAGGTGGTTTCACGGGTATGGGGAGTGGAGGTGCAGAATGGAGAGTTATTGTTGAATGTTCTGTTTGGGACGATGAAAGGTTCTGGAAATGGAGAGTGGTGACAGTTGCACAAGACTGTGAATGTAAGTAATGCCACACCAACAAACAGTTTAAATGGTAAATTGTATGTTATGTATGTTTTACCACAATAAAAAAAAAGTCCGAAAAAATACGTGATATAATTATGGACATGAATTTATAGATCTCTTTATAAATATAAGAGGTATAAATATACAATAATAGGTGTATATATAGTAAAATCTCAAGTTTTATTTAAAACCTAATGGATCTGTAGGTTACCCAGGCCAATTAGCTGTACACACTCGAAGAATGCCCGTCTGTCAGGGGCAAGTTTAATCAAGTGTCTAGTGAAGATCAGACCGTATGCTTAGAAATGTGCTCGGTATTATATATAAATGCTCTTTTAAGGACCCATTAACTTATTCTAGTTAGATGCTTATTTTTATAAGTGCCTTCAACTCAAAACTAATTTTCTTCCTTGAGTTCCATGGCAGTATTCAAGAAGTTGAAAAATCTATATATAGAACTGTAACAATAGCAGCTGCAATTTTCTGAGCTGCTTACATCAAAAGGCACAGCATACAGTATTTCATTTAATTCCCATAACAAAAATAAGTACATAACTCCATTACATGAATGAGAAAGATGAGGTGTAGCAAGGTGAAGTAACAAGAATTTATATGGCTGGTGAGGAGTAGAGCAAGGACTCAATACTACATGTATGTGACAGAAAAGCCATGCTCTGAACCCCTGTGCCTCTGACATGAGACACACATATGCTAGGCAATCATGCAAGTGTGAAATCACAAGATCAGCTGCATCTCAGGGGGTGGGGTGGGGAGGGAGCTACTCTTATGAAAAATAATTATAACATTTTCTTATAAAAAATGGCAAATTGTGGTGTAATTTAATATACTTTATAATAAAGCAAACATGGATTATACACAGCACCAAACACTACCACCAAATTTTGAGACAGACATAACTTTAAAGAAATTCTGCACCAGGAGCTTCTCAGAGGTGTCAAACGACCTCCAGCATGGCTGAGCAGTGCAGAGCAGGGAGCGGCCCTGTCTGCCTGCTCCCACCGGGATGCTACTGTATGAGAAGCACAAACAGCACAGCTTCCCATTTTCTGAGTTACATCTGTGTAATAAATCATTTTCATACTTCATGTGAGAAAAACTCATGTTAAAGCCTCAATTACATAACAGTAAGTTTGCATCCTCAGATTTTTCCATCAGGCATGACTACTACTAACTAATCCTAAGTGTTTCCTATTATTCCTAACTTAAAACCAGATAATAGAAAGATAGGTAAGAATTCCAATCAGTATTCGAGAATACTGATTTATTTATATAACAAAAGGAATAAATGGTAAGCTGACGGTACTGGAAGTTTTAGCCCATGCAGTAAGGAGAAAAAAAATCAGAAATCTTATATTTGAAAGGAAGAAGTAAAACTGTCTTCTAGCACTGACATAATCATGTATATAAAAATTCCTTGGGAATCTATAATAAAGCTACTAGAACTAATAATTTAGCCAGGCTGCATGATACAAGGCCAATGTACAGAAATGAATTTCTACATACTAGCAACAAGTAATTGAGAATTGAAATTAAACAAAATAATGTGTAATATTATAAATGAAGATATAGATAAATTTATCAAAATACCTGCAAGACCTCTATACTGAGAACTACAAAACACTGCTGAGAGAAAATTACGATAACATAAATAAACAGAAAGATATCACGCTCATGGATTAGAAGAGTCAATATTAAGGTAACAATTCTCCCCAAATTCACCTACTGATTCAAAGTAATCCCAATAGAAATTCCACTGGGTGTTTTGCGGAGTTATGAGTCAATTCTAAATTTATATGGAAATGCAAAGGATCTAGCAGAGCCGAAATACTGAAAAAGGAAAACAAAACTGAAGAACTGACATGCTTGATTTCATGACTGATTATAAAGCTCTAGTAGTCAAGTTTTAACATAAGAACATGTAGATCAACGGAACAGAAGAGAGTCCACAAACAGAGCCACACATATATACAATCGATTTGACAAAAGTACCAAGGAAATTCAACGAGCAAAGGATAGTCTTGTCAAAAAAAAAAAAAAAAAAAAAGGTGCTGAAACAACTAGCTATCCATATGCAAAGTAAAATAAACTTTGACCCCTAAGTCACATCATTCCACAAAATTAACTTAAAATGGACCACAAACCTAAAATATAAGAACTAAAACTATCATCTAGAAGAAACTCAGGAGAAAATGCTCTCTATAAAAACTTAAGAAACATCTCTTTGAATGACAGTGTTGAGACAACATAAAAGCAAGGCATAAACTAGGGGTCAACATTAAGAATACACAAATTTGACAAAGTACTTGATTCAGAATATACAAAGAAGTCTCATAACTCGCTCATAAAACAAAAACCTAACTTTCAAAGTGGCCAAAGATTTAAACAGGCCTTTGAGAAAAGATAAACAAATGGCCAATAAGAATACAAAAAAGATGCTTAATATCATTAGTCACCAGGGAAATGCAAATCAAAACCATGAGGTAAGGTCATACACCCATTAGAACAACTATCACAAACAGTTACAATATGAGTTGACAAGGATGTGAAGCAACTGGAAATCTCATGCTGCTGCGGGAATGCAGAATGGTGCAACCACTTTGAAAAAATACTTCACTTATTATAAAGTGAAATGTATATTAAACATTAGATCCAGCAATTCTACTCCTAGGCATTTACTCAAGAAAAATGAATGAATGTGGAGATGTCTACACAAAGATTTGTACACAATGTTCACATCAGCATTAATCATAATAGCCTCAAACTGGAAACAACTCGAATCCCCACTAACAGGTGAGTGGATAAACAAATTGTGATACAGACACACTGGAATACTACTCAGCAAGAAAACAAAATGAACCACTGAAAAGAAATGCAGTAACATGCACGGTGTCTCAAGAGCGCTGTGCTGAGCCAAAGAAGCCAGACAAAAGCCTATATATGCCATGACTCCCCGGAACACATCAAAGCAAACCTCAATGACAGAAGGCCATCAGTGGGTGGCTGGAGTCTGAGCTCAGTGGCACAGGGGAAGACATAAAGTAGCTTTCTGTAGTGATGTAGATCTTCTATACCTACATGCCTACATTTGGCGAAATCAATCTGCACACTTTATAAAGTTGATTTGAAAGTCCCTCTAAACACAGGTACAGTGAAATGGCACAAAGCACTTTTGAAACAAGGCAGCTAATGTTAGTGACCAAGTTATAAATATTTATAAAGAAGCTATATAAACAATTTAGAATTAAGTTAAGGGGTGAGCAGGGTTTCTTCATACCTTTGGTGCTATGAAGACAATCACCTTGGCAAAAGGGACCGAGGTGAGTCTTAAGAAAGGTTTAAAAGTGATACACAGTAGATCTAACTGATTATGGTATGTTTTTGAAGAAGTCTTTCAAAAGAGAAGCTTTTTAGGGTAAGCAGTCAGTGCATTTCCTCATTTCCTTTTGAATTATGAGAAGATGACCACAGTCTGAAGAATTCAAGGCTAGCTAATGATGGTTTAAAAAAAAAAAAAGGGAAATTAATGGTTTTCCATCTTAAATAATACTTTTACACACTTTCAGAAACATGCCACCTCACAATGAAGCAAATTCTATTGAAATTTTCAATCTGAGTATTGAAATCTGCCTATCTGAGAAAGGTCTAATATGGGTCCCAGATCTCCTACAGAAAAGTACAACCTTGTAAAACCAGGAGAATACCACATTACTTACCTATATTTTAATTTAAATCCTCCCAAACCTCTGTTATAATACTTACATGACACATGAGTAAATGAAGCTCAGAGAGGTTACGTACCTTGCCCAAACTACCAAATATCAGAGCTGTGATTTAAAACCAGATTATTTTAACTGCGAAACCCATGCTCTTAAGTTCCACGCTGCAATGTCTCAGAAGGAGAACTCAGCCTCTCTGAGAGGTACTACAGAAACTTGGAAGAGTGACAGCATAATTTTGTAAAACCCCACTTACCTTCAGGGGACGCAGGGCACCACAGAATTTAGTCCACCAGCTATTTTCAATGAATTCTAAGTGCCTCTCTCTTTTCCTAAGTGTTCGTAACCTTTCTTCAAGTTGTTTTAAGGCGCGTTTATCCCTTGCTGGCAAAGGTCGACCATCTTTGCTCTGCAAATAACAGAACAAAATAAAACAGTTTTTTTTTTTACCATTAAGGTCTTTATAAAGTACCCATCAGATTTAGCAGATCAGGCAACACAAACTTTTTTGGCTCGATTTGACTCCTTTGGCAAATTTACAAATTGGAAAAAAAAAAAAGAAAGAACCCAACAACTTCTATGTGACAATACACATCTCTGAACCCAGATCAGTGTCAGAATGCGATGTGAATGTGTGTACATTTAATGCTGAACATCCTCTTGATCCCCGTTTTCCAAATACCGTATATGGTAAAGTCATGTAGAGACAGATAAATATTTTTAAAAACATCCTTTTTATGAGGCACTTTATGTTCTTTGCTCAGTTATTCTCCTTCATCTCCAAATTCCTCATCCTATCCCTTGTCTTAACATATCTGGTCCTACGCTCTCCCTCCTTTTGGTCAAGCGACTGTGTTACAGTGTACCTGAGCTGAGGCTTCTCAGCCCCTGACTCAAACACCAGCAGAGTGATGCAGTACTCGTATGCGGTGTGCACAGGTTTTTGTAACAATCACTAAGAGCCAGCGCTTTCTTATTCTCCATTTACATTTGCAAATGAGTCATGTTTTCTTCGGCTGGCCTATCTGACAGGTAATTCTCATCTATTTTCATATGATATTTACCGTAACCATGAGCAGTACCTCTCTGTGGCGTCCGAGTGACACTTTCCCACTCGAACTCCCCCCTGCCCATAAGCGTCTTCAACTCGGTACAATAATAAACCACAATAACAAGACAACTGCTAAATACTAAAAAGATGAAATATAAATTTGTTTGCTTTTATTGAAGGACCAAGAAAATATTTACACGGGACAACATTTTTCTTTCTTTCTTTTTTTTTTTTTTTTTTTTTTAAGTTTTTGGCCAGGCCATGCGGCTTGTGGGATCTTAGTTTCCCAACCAGGGATTGAACCCCCAGGCCCTCAGCAGTGACAGAGCTGAGTCCTAACTACTGGACTGCCAGGGAATTCCCAGGACGTTTTTAAACTGTAAAAGCGTTAATAATTAGAGTGTTAAAATCCCTATCAAGGTTTAAATAGGATGCTGGGGAACACGCCAGCCAGTGCTCTGCAGCACAGCCCAGAGCAGCATCAATGTGGAATAAGGGACACACGCATTGTTCATTATTTCTATGTATTTCTTGTCCGGGCAGACAAGCCCGGATACCCTTTCATAAGGGGATGTCAGGGTCACAGCGACCTCTCCACAAGACGGCACTGCAATGCTCTGTTCCTGATCGTGTTGCTTCCCAAACGTCACATGCATAACAATCAACAGGACGGTCCGTTCCACGCAGGTTTCTAGACCCTACCCCGAGAGAACATGATAGTTAGGTCCCGGGTGGGGCCCGGAATTTGCATTTCTGCCAAATTCCCAGGAGATGCTGATGCTACTGGTCCAGAGACCATACTTTGCATACATGGGGCCATTATTATTATTTATCTTCACTGCTTTAGGTACACTGGTTATTATCAAATTGTATCCCTTACAGAAGGGTATTTTCTGAAGACCAGAGGAATAAGACATCTCCCTCCAGAAGACAGATCCAGGCCACGATACTTCAAGCGTGTGGTAATTTATATCTTAACTACACAATTTTTCTCAAAACTGCCATTCTAATATCAAAAGGATACCAACAAGGTAGATTTATTTCACTGCTGGCGTTCCCTATTTCAGGAAAATAATTTTTTAGTAAGCTGATTTAAGGGTCCACTGAAAACACACTCAAATTATCTGCCCATTTGCCGAAGCATCAGTGGGATGAATGGAGGCCCGCTCTGCTGTACCAACTGTCTAAACCAACGTAAGAAGAACTGTGGTCAGACAGACACCAGGAGAGACACACAACAGTCAACCAATTATTTCATTTGGAAAAAAAAAAAATGAAGTTACACAGCATATAAACAATATCCTTTGTTGGAAAAACAGTAAAACGTGAAAGCTGCCCCTCCCACGGTCCCCAACGACCACCCCCTCTTCTGTGGTTATCGCTGTCACAGAGACCATGCATATCTACGTGTCTACATGTGTCCCTCTGTGTAAACATACTTATGGTTTTTGTTTTACGTAATAGGTAACATTTCCTGTGCCTTATTCTCCTTAAATCTTCCAAATAAAACTCTGAGGTTGATAACAGCATTTTTTTTTTTTTGCGGTACGCGGGCCTCTCATTGCTGTGGCCTCTCCCATTGCGGAGCACAGGCTCCAGACGCGCAGGCTCAGCGGCCATGGCTCGGACCCAGCCGCTCCGCGGCATGTGGGATCCTCCCGGACCGGGGCACGAACCCGCGTCCCCTGCATCGGCAGGCGGACTCCCAACCACTGCGCCACCAGGGAAGCCCGATAACAGCATTTTATTCATTTATTAGATGAGGAAAATAAGGCCCACAGATATTACCTACATAATCAGGAGAGCCAGAATTTAAACTGAGAAAGTGTAACTTAATTTCATAAGATACGCTCTCTAAGCTATATAAATCTACCTCATTCCTTTTCATCATTGCACAGCACATTATACCATGATATTTTAATTTAATAAATACCTTATTTTTGAACATTTAGATTATTTTCTTTTTTGAGGGGGCAGGGACATGAATATCCTTATTCACCTGGGTACAAGCGCATACATACAATCCAGTAAGATAAGCTCCTAGACATCTGTTGGATTAAAATTTAATTATTAAAAGGTACGTTGTTTGTGCATTTGTGTGTACAGGCGCATGTGACAACATTCAGTTTTCTTTAAAAAGCTGTATATTTTATATTCCCTCAAACAGTATTCCTATCCCCAAATTCTTATCAACCCCTGACGAAGGTAAAAAATTTAAAGACTTCTAAAGGATAAAAAAATACTGAGTTGCTCTAATTACCAGCCATCCTGGTTTTAGCAATAAAAGTCCCCTCATGTTCTGGAAAACTCCTCAGGTCCCACACAAACTGGGATCTTAGTCAACCTACTCATTACTAATGAGCTGAAGCATCACTTCGTATTTTCACTGAAGAGTTTAATTTCTCCTTCAGTAAACTGTCTATTTAGGTCTTTTGTTCATTATTTCTATATATTTCTTGTCTTTTTTTCTTCTTGACTTAAAGATGCTCAGCATATATCAGCTATATTGCAGATTATTTCCTCTCAAATTATTGTTGGTTCTTTAAATTCCTTTTTGGTGCCACTTTTTTTGGTACATAAATTTAAAAACATAAAAATTTAAAGCTCACCAGTTGCTCAATTTGCACTCGAGTTCTGAGTCTTATTTAGAAAGGTCTTCTACATACCAAAATAAAATTTGATTTTCACTTTCTCCTAATGTTTTGTAAATGTTATACTGGATTTAAATTCTGAATTTGTTTAGTATATGGTAGGAAGCTTATAAAGATTTCATTTTTTATCTTTTATAGACTGTATTGAATTTCCACCTAAACGTATGAAAACTGTCGTCTCTACAATATTGAATCTTCCCAAGTAGGAACGGATGAAGTTCTCCATTTATTTCAGTCTTCTATTATGTATTTCAATAAAGTTTGTAATTTCCACCCGGAAGATTCTGACATTTCTTATTATTCTATAGTTCACAGTTATTGGAAATGAGGTCATTTTCTATTACATCCTCCACCTGGTGAGTGATCCTGTACATTTGTATCTGGACACCTTGATGAACTCTTGTTAGGTCTATTAATTTGCCAGTTGGTTCTTTTAGATTTTTTTGGTAGAGGCTATCTGCAAATAACAGAAGTTACTTCCCCTCTTCTCTCCTCTCCCTTCCACAGTTACCCCTACGTTCTTTTCTATCTGACTAGGAATAGGATACGAACATCCCTGTCGTATACGTGCCTTTAGTGAGAATGTTTCTTTCATTAGGTACGATGCTCACGGTAGGCTTCCTTTGCTAAACAACTTCTTTTCTTCCAATTTGGTAAGAATTTTCTCTAAACATCGTTAACTACAAATTGACTCTTACCAAATACTCTTTGGCATCTACTAAGATGTTTATGTTTCTCATTTATTCTCAATATATTAAACTACTTTATTTTCTAACATATCATCCTCGCCATCCTAGGATAAACCTAATCTTATAATTATGAGATATTCTCTTATTACAGCATAGTTTTTGAATTGCTAACATTTTTATTTATATTAAATTATTTGCCTGTACTTTCACAAGAGAGCCCGGTAAACAGTTTTCTTTTTGGTGCGCTGTTACCATCTGGTTTCTGTCTCAGGATTATGATCGTTTAATAGAATAATTCAGAAAACTTTCCATTTTTTCCTATGTTCTATAAATAAGATTTATCTGTTACTTGAAGGTGACAGAGGAAGAAAAACTTGATTGTGTTTTTAGAAGTACATTTAATTGGCAAGTGGTTACACGTAATCTTATCTTATTCAACCAGTACGTAAAACTTTAACGTAAGTGATACAGTGAAATCTGATATTACACATGGAATCAGCATACCTGGGAACTAGCAAGGTCTTCATCATACGCAAGTAGAACTTTTGTGTTTCAGCTGTTAGAACACTGATAGAAATTCTCACACTGTCAGTGTCCTACATTTCACAGAAGACAATTTTTTAAAAATAGGGTTCTTTAAGCATACGTTGAACAAAAACTCAAACAATGTCAAAATATGGGCTTAGCAATGTCTAAGTCACAACACAGAGCAGCTCGAAGACAAAGTACTTTTACGCTCCCCGGTTACGATAAAACATCAAGTCACCTTCGATTTAATCGTTTGGATGTGCTGCTCCACTTCCTCAATGTCTTCAGTGTTTTCTAGACGTTCGTAAGCAGCGCTTCTAGTGCCTTTGATCAGATTTAAAGGCAAGGCCGACATGCCATAGGCCTGAAAGAACAAAAGTAAAACACGTTTTGGTAATACTGTTTTATTTTATTTATTTTTTGGCTGCGCCATGAGGCTTGCGGGGTCTTAGTTCCCCAACCAGGGATCAAACCTGGTCCCCTGGCAGTGAGAGCGCCAAGTCCTATCCACTGAACCACCACGGAAGTCCCTAGTAATACTATTTTAAACATATTATACAGAATTTTCAGGTAAAAAATGTCCTTTTAAGTAGTAACAAAATGAGTAAGCAGTTGTGAAGGGGACAGTCACTGAAGAACAGAGGATATGGGAGTGAATCATGATTATATTGCCTCATAATTCTGTTTATTTCATATTTAGTTACATAGAGTTACGTCTGTAATACTATTCCTAGAATAGGTAATATCTATTTTTCAAAGGACAAGTTATAAAATTAATGGAAATATAATACTTTATCAAAGTAATAACTCATAATTTCAGGCTAATCAGGGGTTAAGATAGTATGAATCAGTAGAAACAATTTATAAAATTATTTCCTATGGAAAAACCCAATTTTATCCAAGTGTATATAGTAAACCCTTAGTAAAATGTAAGTATTTTAACATACATGTTATTTGATTAACATACCAATGATCTGTATGTAGTTTATTTGTAAGTTCTAAATATTTAGTCTTTTCACTAAGTATTTTAAATATAATTCTTACAAGAAATTCTAAAATATTAATCGGCATTAAAAATAAACATATTATTTTCTATTACCCAATGCTATATTAGCCAGTCCCAAATGTGAAATTTTATTGTAACTATTAAAAACACTCAATGGCAACTGCCATGTGACCATTATTCAAAATCGTTACTGACCTTAAATCCTTAGAAGCAAAACTGACAACTATCACCTGTTGGTTGCAGCAACGGGCTCTAAAGTAGATACATCATGTATTTAGATCTTTCCATTTTCTTCCTGAGAACACAGCCAAACTACTTCAGCCAGCCTCCCTGAAGTTAGGTAGGGCCATGAGACTGAGTCCAAGCAATGAATGCAGGCAGAAGTGATAAACGCTACCTCTTAGGCTTAACCCCGAACTCTAAAATATCCTGAGTAATCCTGCATATTTTCTCTCATGCTCTCTGCTACCTGGCTGTAAACTCCCAGGATGATCTCAAATATGTTTAGTGTCGATTTTAATCACTTCAATATTCTGAGTCTCCTTTAGACATTGATTAAACCACAATTCATATAGGAAAGCATACATTCTGACACATCAGGGTTGTTTTTAAATTAAGGGAGAATAGGAACAAAGAACATGATTAAAAGGAAATCCCAGAAAGCAACCAGTTCTATCAGGTAGTATCAACTCTATATAGCATGTTGTATTTAGATAATTAACTAGCTGAAATTATTATCTAATATGCAAATCCTTGTATTTTCTAAAGGAGAGATACTTAAAATCTTGCATTTTAAATATTGTTAAAACATAAGTTAATGTTCTCATGATTTCCCCATCATCTGGGAACAAAAACAACAAGGAGAGGTTGGGGAAAGGTTCTATTTGTATTAGAAGAAAATATAATTTGGACAGAGTAGAATAATTTTCTTCTAACTAACTAAATTCTTATCTAACTTATGCTCCTAATGACCTTGGTAAAATATAAAAAGGAAAAACATAATCAGGTTTTTTTTTTTAACAGTAAATTGTATATCCTCAAACTACTGAAAATGTAAAGAAAAAAGCGTATGGAAGCCAAGGTGTCCCAGAGGCGGTTACTCTTCCCTTGTAGGAGTGTCCTAACCCTATTACCACTCTGACCTATCTGTTGTTCTAGTAGTTCCACACCTTTTAAACGGTAATGAAAAAAAGTAACATAGCACTTTAAGACTCTGATGAGCATACAGTATTACATGATGATTATTCACCGACTCTCCACACGCACATATCATTTTACCACAAGTCCACGTTGCTTTTTACAACCAACTGCCAGGGCAACATGATTTTGCTAAACCCAGTTTATGCCCAAGTATATTTTCCTGTCTTTCCAACCACCTCCGAACTAGGCTTATTTTATCCCAAATCTTGCTATTCTGCTTGATGGATCTGGGTCTCTAAATATACTAACCTCAGAACTCAATACTATTGGGTTGGCCAAAAAGTTCATTTGGGTTTTTCCATACGAAGTTATGGGAAAACCTGAACGAACTTTTTGGACAGCCCAATTATTTCCCAAGGAATCTGTACTCCAGTCAGCACTAAAAACGTGGCCACTACTTAGAGTTTACTGTCAAAGACAAGGTCATCTAAATTCTCCTCACTGGTCTGCTGGTCTCACTTCCTATAAATCCATCCTTTACACTGTTTCCAAAGTGGTCTTGCTCTAACCCTCATGTCAGATTATGTCATTCCTCTGATTAGCATCCACTGAGATTCCCCAGGACCACGTGCTCTGGCGGCAGTCCCCAGGGTTCTGTATCGGGGCCATCAAGACCACACAGGAGACAAGAAGCAGGGAGCGTCGGTCTGCTGCTGCTGCTTCAGCCAGAGCCACACTACTCTGTTCACCTCTTTCTGTATGTATCAGAATTTCATGAACGGCTGTTTGAAAATGTCACTTTACAATTTTTTTTTTCTCCAATGAGAGGTACAATTACTAGTCCTGTGAATAGACGCCACTATCTAATCCTGGCCTACGAAGCCCTTCATGACCTGATCCCTACCACCCAACCTCATGCCTCTAAATGGTTCACTGCTCCTCAGTCACTGCAGTTTCCGCATCCACACCTGTGTACATGCAGTGCCTCATCTGGAACACCCACGTCTCATCCTACCTCATTAGCCCAGCCCAGTGCCCTTCAGGTCTCAGCTTAATTACACCGCATCTGAGAAACCTTCCTTGATTTGTAAATGTGCCTTGCTTATAACTCAATTATAGTACAGCACACTGGACATTATTTGTCTGCATGTCTGTTTTATCACTAGATCTGCCAAACTTAGCTAATCAGAATCATGTGGAAAGTTCGTTAACAATATAGATTTCTCAGCCAGACTAGTAATAACTGCAGTAGGCTGTTTTGTATGTAAGGACTAGGTCTCAATTCTTCTTTTACCTACCTTTATTCCAAGAACAAACGTGTTCAATTAATAAAATAACTTCTCTAAGAAAATAATATTCAAACAAAAAACTTTTTTTCAGTGCCCTTTATTCACATGAACTTATTTCCTCACATGGAATTTACACATTTATTCGAAGAGTTAAACTGCATTCCTATAGCTTAAATAAACAGTTTAAAGTAAAAATTTTAGAAAATAAAAACATGTCCTTGGTAACACCTTGTGGTAACATGGGACCAGAATACAACATCTTTTTGTGAATTATTAATTGTCTGAAGAGAACAAGAAAGTAATCATTGTTTTGGTTACCTGGCTTTTAGCTTATTTTTGGATTACTTGCTTACATTTCAATGATTATCAGGAATTTTAAGTATAGTATTTAGATTAAGATAAACTTGACATAACACAGTACACAAAATATTTAATCACTACAACTTTAAGATCTTTAAACAAGAATCTTTTGAATTTAACCTCAGATTTCTTTGAAAAAAATGTATGAAGGCTATCATTTTTCAGAAACACAAAACTTTTATTGCTTACTACTGCCCTCTAGTGAATTACCAGAAAATCAACAAGGCTAAAGAGATCATATCATTTAAAACGCTTCCAGGTCAGCCATAATTGCTTCCAATTTTATTTGTTTCAACTTCCAAGAATAAATCACCACCCGTATTTTAAAAGCCAAATGTTTTGAAAGGATATATACAAACTACAAACATTTCTAATACGTTCTTGCCCCTATAAGAACAGCACTTTTCCCTGCACCTCTCTCTTCTGTGAAGGATGAGTTTCCAACCTATTAGCCTTGGATTAGAAAGGTCAGCGCCAAGCACTGCCTGTAAACTGAATATATGTCCTGCATATACTTATAACACCTATTATTCAAGGACACGGATGCTGTCATGACTAAGGAAACAACTCACTTAATGTGTATTCAATGAAGATTTCCCTTTTAAATATTCACTGATTCTAAAATATACATGTATTTTTTCACATTTATCATCAGTGAAATTTGGATGCATCTTACAAACACTGGCTAGGCAGAAGTCATGACGTAATTGTCATTACCTGCACATTCACAAATTTGGTCATAGCTGGTTACATTATAGTTACTTCTCCAGTGAGTTACCTGCATTCTTGGTACAACTCTTGAGTTTAACTGCCACTTACCATGTCTTGTAAGATAGTGCTACGATTTGACATCGAAGCAAAAAGTTAATGTGTAAGGAAAGACAGAACAAAGGAGCAAGCAGTGAAGCAAAAATTAACTGGAACAATGAGCATGATTCTATATTTTCTTGCAAAGCAATAATCAAAGGCTTTATAAGCTTAAGAAAGGAAGATGACCAAAGTAGAAGACATTTTGTACTTTGCTACTTAGGTAGCAAAAGAAGAAACAACAACAAAAACAGCTTAAACAGGTGTGTTAGCAGCTTCAAAGAACATCCCAGAGACAAGAATGGAGCACCCAAGAAAAGCTGTTAGCATCAACTCTCTTGATAGCCTAAAACAACCCTGTGGAGTGAAACATGGACATGAACAGCCAATTCAAAAAAGTGATTCAGAAGACTCACATTCCGAATGCGAGGTTTTAGAAATACCTTTACAACTTACTTCACTTATATTTTCCTTATCTTGTATGCAGAAGATTGATATGACTTTTTTTTTTTTTATGTAGGTAAGGCTAAAACGCTTCTCTCATTAATATAAAACAAAAACTATAAATGATTAGAGAGCATGGGCAGGGCCTTTTCCTTACAGTGGTACATAAGGTGCATCTTACAAATCAGGTCACAGACTCAACGAAGCATACTATCACATAGAAGGCTGAGAAATTTAATTTTTAAAGTGGAGTTCTGTCTTCAAAGATTATTGAGAACCACTGCTCTATTTATTTCTATTTTAAAATCCTTAATTTAGCACTCTAGTTTTCTTTAATACATTAGTCTACATTTATAGTAAATATATTTATTAGCATAAATATATATATATAATTCATAAACTCCTGGAAGACATGTTCAATTTTTTTTACTGATAAGTGTACATAATAAAAAGTTTAGTAGTCGCTGTCTTTATAGGCACTTCAGTGGTCCATATGATACATTTTGTATGAAAATAGCACTATTCAACATTTCCCCACTTGGTGGCACCAAAAAATTAAAATATCTGCATAAATATTTGTGTCTAGAGGTTTTTTTTGTTTGTTTTTAATTTAAAAAGTAGCAGATTCCCTTTCAATTAAGCTGAAAACAACAGGCAAGATAACATGTCATTTGACATTCTTCTCCGAAAATTGAGTGCCCAATTATTTGGCTATTCCTTGAGATGTGGTACAGTGGATATAATCTTGGTAAAATTTAAATTATCAACTAGTTTCTAAACTAAACAACAACGCATACCTAAGAAATTCACATTCAACTGACACATACATTACAAAAACTTCTGTAGTCTCAATACTGATAGCTACAGATTCAATAACAGACATAATCTTACCTTTAGTAATTAATTCCTTGTACTCAGGGTCAAAGTTCTCTAAGCATTAACTTCCCACTTTCGGTACATATTAAAACTAAACCTCTTCTATTCCCCATGCATATCTATTATACCCTCATTCACGTTCTGCTCCAATTCTTGAGTTTTCCCTAACTACTTCGGAGAAAACTTTGCTTTCACAAGCAAATATGATAATTAGTACCATTAGCCACCTACCAATAATAAAACCACTTATCAATAAACAGTTGATTTTCAACTAGTTTTTTTTTGTTTTGTTTTGTTTGTTTGTTTTTTGCGGTACGCGGGCCTCTCACTGCTGTGGCCTCTCCCGTTGCGGAGCACAGGCTCCAGACGCGCAGGCTCAGCGGCCATGGCTCACGGGCCCAGCCGCTCCGTGGCACGTGGGATCTTCCCGGACCGGGGCACGAACCCGCGTCCCCGGCATTGGCAGGCGGACTCTCAACCACTGCGCCACCAGGGAAGTCCTCAATTAGTTTTTAATAAAGTCTGAATAAGTATTATTGGCCCACTTTTCAGATGGGGAAGCTAGGACTCAGAAATTACATTTTACATGAAGACTCACACTCATGGCTAGTCTTCAGCTATGCATACCACGCTCCCCCTTAACCAGGGTCTTCTCTATCCCACCTAGGTAGTAAACCTGGCGAGACTGTGGTTTGGTAGCAAACCATTCTTCCACCCAGTTCTGAGCACATTCTGCAGTGCTATTTAAATGATGTTTATCTGTCTATCCACACACCCAAGAGTAACTCTTTGACTTACTCACCTTTTCATAATCCACATTCTCACTGACCATGACACAACTGCTGTTAACACCTGGTTTACTTTCACTGTGAGAGGAAAGCGGTGGAATCTGTAGCTTGAACCACATGAAACTGAATATTCAACAGTTTGAGCTCCTAGTGATTACTGATTGAGTGGCCAACAGATTCCAAGACTTGATGAATTGTTTAATTAAGTCCTCACAACCTTATTAAATATTACTCTCACCTTAGATGGGAAAGTAGTTCAAGAGACCCATGGACTTAAAAGGGACCCACATTTAAGCCTCTCCCCCAAGGATCATGACGGTACTGCTTATGCTACTTAAAGAAAACACACACGGTAACTCCTAGGTAGGTAACCCCTAGGCAGTCTCACCTGGTGCCTATAACACTGGACCCTCCCCGTTGGGCTCAGGCCTTTGGTGACCCCTCCTACCTACTCAGCAGCGTGTTTTTCTGGTTCCCACCATCAGGTCCTCTGATTGTTTTATCAATGGCCTTCAGCCCAGCCCTCTGCATTCCAGAAAAAGTAAAGCTCTTCTAAGGCTATCTTAACTAAGTCAGTATGATTATTATATTTGGTTTCATTGCATAAATGATAATTTTCACAGTTTCCATTTGAACATAAACTATATTAGCTTGAAATATTTATCTTTACAATATCGTTCCTACAGGGAAGCTCTCTTTCAAAGAGTTTTAATAATTTCACACATTTTCCCCACTCCCACTCATCAGCCCCAGAGCTTACTGAATTCAGACCCACCGGAGTAATACTGTTAAAATGTTAGTCAGATCCTATTACTTTCCATTTAGAACCTTCCAGTAGCTTCTAATCTCAGTCGGAATGAAATCCAAAACCCTAACCACAGTCCACGAGGCGCTATAAAACATGCCCTCATCCACGCTCGCCACCCTCCCCAGTTTCCTGAGCTCCCACACGCCAGCTTTGCCTCCTGCTAACTGTCTGAGCACAGCACAGGGTGCTCACCCCAGGACTTCTGCACTCACCTCCCCTCGTGGCTGGCTGTCCTTCCACCTCACTCAGGTCTCTGCTCAAAGGTCAGAGGAGCTACTCCCGACCTGTCACTACTGCCTGTGCCCTACACTGCGCTGTGTGAGCATGTTCACAGCGCCCACCACTCGGCCGTCCGAAGACAATGCTCCACGGGCCTCTCATTTCTGCGCATCTTGCAAGCCAGGCACTAACTGCCCTTCTCTCTTCTGTGCTGTCTTTCCAAGAATGCTTGTGCAGCAAACAGCCTGGGAAGACCAAGACAGCGTTCCCCTGGAGCGAGAGCAGGCACGTTTCCTGTCCGTTAATGAAGACTCGGCCTCCCTGCACTCAACGGTCCTCAGCTTTGTGACAGTCTCGATGGGCGCTCTTCATGTCGCCCCACGGGAGTCGGGACTCAGGAGACGGGCGCAAGACAACACGCTCCCGTGGCTGCTGCCATTGCTGTGCAACAGAAAGTTCTTCTCTGACCAGAAGTCTTGCACCTCTGACCAACATCCAGGGCACTGCAGCAGACTACAAGCTACAAGCAGGGTAAAATCGCAGACCCCTCATGGTTCCTGAGGATGACCTTACATGTTGGTTTCCTCTTTTTCTGTTCATTTCTCCTGACTCATCCTTCACTGAGTGTTATATCCTCATCTCCCTATACTTCTCGAAGCACTTTTACAAAAAGTGTCGTTTGACCTTCAAAAATCCCTAAGAGGCATTTTTTTATTCCCATCTAATGGGGAAAACACCGACCCACGAAGGGTAAAAGACAAACCCAAGATCAGCATACATATCAGTCACAGAATAGCAATTAGAGTCCAGGTCTAACTCCTCATGTGTTATTAACCTGTGAATGTTTCCTAAAAGACAAGTCACAGGTAGTATATATATTCTCTGAGATGGGAAGATAGTTACCCACCGATATATTCCTTGTGTAGTAATACATGAAGAAAGCAAAAATGGCAATGAATAATAAAACTGAATACTCAATCACCTGAAAGATACTAAAATGCATGATTTTAGACTTCTTTTATTATACATTATGACACTTGAATGATTATGCAACAAAACCAGATTCTGCTATCACACGAATAGCCCATTTCTTTTATGTTTAAAGGGAGACGCTGGAACAATACCCAAAATGTTTTCTTTACGACCAGCATTTTTCATCTTTGTATCAATCAAGAATGCCCTAAACATAAACTCCATTAATCTGAAAAAGGTTCCATATAATTTAAAGCTTCCTGCACAACTCTCTTTTGGGAGGCAAGTAAGAAGCATTTTTACTGGCTTTTCCTCTATAATTTGAGCAAAAAACTCAAAAAGCACTCTGCACACAAGTTTGTCAGGCTATTTTAAGTCATATCGTACCATTCCCAGAGAGACCGGAAAAAAAAAAAACAAAGTCTCTGAGAGTATAAGATTAGGTTCTTTATACTAGAGAAATATCAAGTGATGTAAAATATCTGATTTTAAAAGCCCTATATCCCCATATAGGATAAATCTACTGAATCCATAACAGGTACTGATCTATGGTTCAGAGTTCTAATATGCTTATAAATCACTAAATCTATTACTGCCTAGTATATAACCACTTCAAGGTTCACAAGTTATAAAGTTTGTTTCTGAATGTTAAATTTCACAAATACAGATAAAATGATTATGACCAAGTAGTTAAAAATCTACCCTCCTCTCAAGAAAAATGAAGGAAGTACTAGATATTAAAGAGGAAAACAGAGCTAAATTGAACATACCAATAAGGTAACAAAACTGCATCATAAAGTGTTTCTTTAACTCAATTATTACCACTATACTTACTGTGTAGATTATAGCTGCCAACATTCCAATCAGGGTCAGAGAACTAATGGAAAATGACAAGGCAGCTAAACCATCTGCAAAAGAGGAAAAACACTGTTAAAAATGTACAGCTATTCAAATGTTTATATTCAATGAATCAACAGAAATATAAAAATTGGGTTTCTTACACATTCCAAAGGAATAAACCCAATATGCATTACCCCATTCTTGAAGTGCTAACTCCAAGTGGAAAGGAGTTTTTAAATAGCTCTTCATAAATGGATTTGTTAAAGATCTTTCAGACTAAGACTTTCTTTCTTTCACCTCTTAAAATTAAAGAGGGAAACTACTGCCTAATTATTGAGCCTAAAAAGAAATCAGCAAAATACTAGATGCTCAAAAGTTGGCCAAAAAAATGCCCTGGCCTTTCTCAAAGGCAGCCCTCGAGAAATAACATGACAGGAATGCCACTGACCTTGGCCCTATCTTCCCTCTCCACTCAAACTCCTAGTTCCTCTGTTCTTAAATTTCAAGTAAGTTTTTAAAACTTAGCCTAGAGCTAAAATCGTAAAGAGTTTACTTCCCTCTTTAACTTGAAAGGAGCTAGCATGCTCCCTTAGGGGGGGGGGGGGGGGGGGGAGAAGCAAACAAACAGAAAATAAATTCAAACATAATACCAAAACAGGAATACTATGCTAACAAGTTAGACTTAGGAAACTTTTTAAAGGAAGGCCAATGAGTGAGAGTGACACTTTCAAATAAACATACCAGATAATACAATGAAATATGCAAATTTGAATATTCTTAAATTGGAGTAATACTAATTGTTCTAGTTTTAATACAGGTTCTACTGGACCTGTATTGATCTAGTTTAAATGCAGGTACTGTGGAACCAAATATAATTTTTTAATTAATTTAATATATCAATACTAAATAATAATAGAATGACCCATCCTATTAAAACTCACGTCTCAGTTTTAAAATATAACACTTAGAGAGAGCATATTATTAACAAGTTCAGAAACTATTCAAGACAAATTTTTAAGCCTTAATTTTCTTAACTGTAATACATTTTATTAAATCAAAGACCATTGGTGCTGTTACTTTCTTGATCTTACTAGAAGTGTCAACAGAAAGTATTCATACAACTAGGAGAGGTCTGGCATTTGGCTGATAGCCATTTTAAGGTACCTCCACTTACAAAATACATCACAAAATCAGAGATATGAAAATGTATAAAAATATGCATCTTAGAATTGATAAAGTAGAGTGTTCTGCTAAGATATCTGGCTAATCTAAAAGTTGATATTACTAAAAGTGATAAGCAAAATGTACTCTAAAATATGGTGTTTAAGATGGGAGGTTTTTTAAATGTTAAGACTAAGGAGATTACAGCAAGTACAGTAATGCTACCTATTATAATCATTGATTCAAGTTATGCTAACACTCAAAGACTAGCAAAACTTATAGGATAATGTTTAGGGCAGAAGAGTAGCTACTAAAGAGACCTGAAGGAGTTAACTGCAGGAAAAGAAGCAATTTATTTCTCAGCAACAGGCTCAGGTACATAAATCCTGACATGCAGTATCAGTATATGCCAGACCGGCTATCCGTATTCTTGCTGGTATCAGCAAGGTATTAATGGACCACAATTTACAAGATGAAATCTTAAGTGGAAAGCAAGAAAATTAAGAAGTTGTACAGCAAAGACTCCAAGACCTAATTTAACCATCATTTAATATTGTATCTGGGTAAAGAGAAAGTGCTCATCAAAGAACGTAGAGTACCCAATAAAAAGAATAAATACAAAAGAAATACGAATTTTCAGCATAATGTTTATAAAATAAGTTCTCTAGCTTTCTTTGAAAATAGTTCAAAGGCACATGAAATTCTCAGTAATAAAATACACACTCTTATTTGATATCAGTTTCTAACACCAACTATATTTTTCAATGATTAAGCAACTTTCTTAAGCTAACTTCCTAAACCTGCTTTTTTGTTACTCTCTAAAAACCAAGGTCATGTTGATTAAGAGAAGGAAAGCTTAGACCTTTTGGTGAGGTAAATTTATAATAAACTATTATTTCATCCACATAAAACCTCTGTAATTTATATTCCACAAAAAGATTACTTAATCACGATCAAATAGCAATATAGGGTTCTCTCAGTTAAAAATTAAAAATAAACACCAGTATATCTAGCACATTTCTTTAACATATTATTCTATATTATCCTAAGTGAATTAAAGACCACATAGAAATTATAAGACCTTTACCGCTAAAATGCTTTGAAGATTACATTGTCTTTTCAACATGGTAATTTTATGAAGAAGTCAAGAGACTTCTAGCTAGATGGCTAGAAGTCTCAGCAACACAAAGTTCCTAATTTGTCTAACATCCTTTTAACCACAGGTTAAAAGAATTATGAAGTTAAATTTTTAACAGTGTAAAAATAGACTACTTATGAAAAAAGTTGCAAGAGTCATGAAATATGAATTATTATGGATTTTATTTTTTAAAAGAATACTTACGACTACTTCCAAGTTCTTCAAACAGGAACTTCACCTTTTCCCACTCTGTAGAATTTTTGTTATCGGGAAGATTCAATGGAACAAAAGCACTATGAAGGAGAAGATAACAGTTTAATGGTTTTAAGGACAAAAGGTCAAATAAAATGACCTGAAACTCAATTTTTAGTAAGTTTTTAAACCAAGATCAACTTTCCCCCCAGAAGAATTAGCAAATCAAATCTGCACCAAGTACAGAGAGGTGTTGAGAAGTTGCTTATCTATGTGTTATATCACAAATTTGTTTTAATGGCTTAATTACTGTATTCAGCATAATTAGTTTCCTTTGTAATCCTGCTTATTTTATTTTTTGCATTTAGAGCTATTTTGAGAAGGAGCCATAGGCTCAAGATGGTCAAAAAGGTCCACAGCACAAAACAGGTTAAGAATTCCTTTGTTAAATCAGGAGAACAGAATGTAAATATTAGGTAATGATTTCAGTATATTTATATGCATAAAAAAGAAGAGAAAGGAAATACACCAGAATTAGCAGTAAATATCTCACTGTAGAATCAGGGGTGCTTTTTACTTTCTTCTTAGTATTTTTCTGTATTCTTCAAGATTCTACCTAATATACATAATGAAAGTAAGTAGTTTCTATTTATTTTTCAATCGACAGCTGAGAGAGAGACAGACCGACAGAAAGGCGCTTTATTATCTAGCTCAGAAGCAAGAAGACAAGAGACTAAAGTAGAGGGCTCAGTATCCCTTAGATTGTATATATGGAGAATCAAACAGGAATGTAAGAAGTAACTCTAATACTACCTCCTTTCCAACCTAATTTTAATTGTAAGCAAAGCAGTAACATCTATCCTTTTTTGTGACGAAGAAATACTGCATGAGTTCACCAATATATTTAAGTACCTGCCCTGATAATGTAAGCAAGTAAAACAAAGTAATTATTCTAATTTTAAAAGATTTCAAAAACCTTTACTCCTTGGTACTACCGATACTTTTTATTCTTATAAAAAGATGAATCATCAGACATGTCGTGAGGTTATTTAAATTTCTAACTATTTGCACTGACATCAGTTTACTACACTCTTCTCAATCTTGGAGATTTACTTCTCACTACTTTTAGAAAGAAAAGTGATTACTCACAGGGATAGAGCAATAAATGTAAAGAGCTCATTATTTGCTGCCCTGGTTATAAAATCAAAAACAATTAAATAAAAGCAGAGGGTAGAATCAAAAAACAAACTCTTGCATATTATACTTCTACAATGATATTAACTTATATATCAGCATTTAAACAAAAATATAAATCAAGCAAGAAAAAACTACCTATGTAATATGCCTCTATTTTATTTGAACAGTTTTTTCCAGAGACACATTATATATATATATATATATATATTTTTTTTTTTTTTGAAAAGTGTATTTTGAACTTGTTAGTTGGAATAACTACTTCTGTGAATATGGGGAAAAACTTCTATGTTGTATAAAATATCACCTAAAGTCTATTAAAATAGAAATACATGTCACAAATACCTAAAAATAGCATTCCTACTTAGAACATTCAGTATCTATGTCAGTTTTAGGTAATCACACGTTCTGTCCAGTGGTAGAAAAGCAATTAGCTCTCTCCATCTTGACACTTTCATGTTCTAGCGGCTGAGCAGGGCTCCTGAGCAGTTCAAATATTTAATGAAGAATAACACCAGAGGAAACTTGACATGACCAAAAAGTTAAAAATAAGAATAATAATAATAAAAGGTTAAATGGCCCAAACGACGGTCAGAACGACTTCAGGAAAATACTTATTCTGAAGCAATCCAGCAGAGCGCTAACATCTCAGCACTACTATTTTAGGTACAACTAGAGGGAGTAGCAAAAGCACAAACCCAGAGCAGGCTCCTCAGCCACCTGGCCACCAGTGCTGTGTAATCCAAGAAACAGACATAAAGTATCTTCTCATAAGCTAAGAGTAACATCCAGAAGCAGAATTCAAACGAGTCACAACTAAATATGTCTATATGTCCTGGGCAATAATACTCAAAACATTTAACAACCAATATGGCAAAGGCACTAACCAATCAACGGACGCTGGCCTTGTTCCTGAAGACCCTGCTAAACCGGGCTTTACCCTTTGACTGGGCTGAGGGTGAGGTAAGAGGCTCAGGAAGGTGGAGCATTTCAACTTTTAACAACCAGAAGGGCCCAAGCAGTGTTCACGGCCAAATACCAGCCCCGCAGACTAAGACCTGCTGGGAGCACCTCCTAACAGATGCAGAGGCCGCTTCAGCCAGACGAGCCTGGACCACAGCCAGAGTCATTTTGAAGGGGAGGCAGCAGTTGTAAGATCCTCAGGCCTTTACCAAATGGTGACGGTCCTCAAGTAACCGAGAGTGTAATGGGATTTGTGTGGTAGAAAGGTACAGATACTTTCTTCATCTCAGTCCCTCTCAAAAAACTGGATACAGAGAACCTCAACTTTCAAAGACACACAATGCTAGACCAAGATAAGAACCAGAATCTCGTGAGATTATAAATTTCCCTTAGGCTCTTAACAATAGTAAAACTGCTTAGAAAAAATATTTTACATCCCATCTGACTGAGTGAATTAGCTTAATACAGATTATCTCTTCAGGAAGAGACAAAGGAAAGGCTAACGAATTTCAGTGGATATGGAACTGAAATGAATTCAGCAGAACTGAAAATAAGATTTTCACCTCCTACACTCAAATGCCAAGTCCTATTTATCTTCCAAATAGCCTGTTTCTTCCCCTCTGCTCTCCGTAACTACTCTGGTTCAGGCCCTCACCTCTCACCTGAACTATGACAGTGGTCACTAAGTGGCCTTCCCAGCTACCATTTATATTTCACTCCCTGACCAACTCCCAAATGCCCCTTTTGACGCGTCCTTCAGTGTTAGAACCAATTCACACATATTTGCTTTCCCGCGTTCACACACCAACCACATACACATCTGCCCTGCCTTTCAGTTGCTCAGCAGGATAAAATGCAACGTCTTAAACACTGTAAGTAAGACCCAGAGTCCACCTATGTGGCTAAGGTCATGGTCTGTCACTTGCCACCGGAAACACCTGAAATGTCACATCTTACTTTTTTTTTTTTGTACCGAGGGAGGATTTAAATTTACATTGTACTTTTTATATCATTCTTTAACTACTCCATGCTAACTTCAGTCTCTCAGTTACCATATGTTACAGACTCAACTGTGTCCCCTTCCCCCAAAACTGCTATGTTGAAGCGCTAACCCCCAATGGGAACGGTACTTGGATACAGGGCCTTTCGTAAGGTAATTAAGGTTAAATAAGGCCCTAAGGGTGAGGCTCTGATCCAATAGGATTGGTGTCCTTGTAAGAAGAGGAAGAGACACCAGGGCTCTCTCTCCCTGCTGCCAGCAGAGAGGAAAGGCCATGTGAGGACACGGTGAGAAGGTGGCCATCCACAAGCCAAGGAGAGAGCTCCCACCAGAAACCAAGCTCACTGACACCTTGATTGTAGACTTCTAGCCTCCAGAACTATGAGAAAACTAGTGTCCACTGTTTAAGCTAGCCAGCCTGTGGTATTTTGTTAAGGTAGCCAAGTAGACTAATACAGATTTTGGTACCATGAAGCGGGTTGCTACTTTGTAACAAATACGTAAAAAATGTGCATGTGACTTTGGTACTCAGTGATAGGGAGAGGCCTAAAGAGTTTTGAGGTTGCACGCCAGAAAAAGCCTAAGCTGCCTTGAAGGGGCTATTGATAAAAATGTGAATGTTAAAGGCAATTCTGTTGAGGACTCAGAAAGAAAAGAGGAGCGCTACAGAGAACCCGTCTATCATCTTGGAGAAGACATGTATCACCACGAATAGAATGCTGGTAGAAATATGGACACTAAAGGTCATTCTGGGGAGCTCTCAGCTGGAAATGAGGAACATGTTAATGGAAACTGAAAGAAAGGAGATCCTTATTAGAAAGCGACTGAGAGCTTGGTTGAATTGTTTTGTAGTGTTTTGTGGAAGGCAGAACCTGTAAGAGATAAAATGGGATATTTAGCTGAGGAGAATTCTAAGCAAAGTGCTGGAAGAAGCTGATTGGTTTCTCCTTACCATTTATAGTAAAGAGAGAGAGCAGAGAGGTAGGTTAAGCAAAAAGGAAGCAGCCTATATCCATATTACAAAAAATGAGAAAGGATGTTCTAAGAGTGTGGCTGAACAACCATTTGACAAGGAGATTAGTGTAGGTGGAAACCACGGATTTAATCAGCTATCTCAGCAGAAGACAGGAAGAGAGACAGGGTGACACTAGCAGAGGCACGGCCAACTTGAACTAAGGGAACAGAGATGAGACAAAATAAAGGAAGGCAATGAGACTTTGGGGATTCTACAGGACAGGGTGATAGTTATTTAGCTGAGAACATGCTTTATCCTTCAAGAAAACCCAAGAATGACCCCAAAGGCAATTCAGTTATCACCAGGGCTGCCACTTCTACTGCCCCAAGGGGGCAAGGCTGTTTCCTCCTCAACTTCAGAGGACAGGGTACCCCCCGCCCTCCACTCAGCTTTAGCTGCCAGGGAGCTGCTGCAGAGTCAAGGGGGCAGGACCCACACCCAGAATCAAGGGGGCGGGCGGGGCCGCTGCCCAGGGCCATGGCAGTGACCTGCCCCTCGGGGGCCTGCAGGGCAGAGCATCCATCCAAGATGCTTAGTCTTGAGCCTTAAGGTCTGAGGGAATTTGCCTTGCTGGGTTTTGAACCTGCTTGGCTCCCATCACTTTTTCTTTCCGATTTCTCCCTTTTAGAATGGAAATGCCTATCCTATGCCTGTCCCACCTTGTATCTTGGAAGCACATAACTTGTCCAGTTGCACAGGTTCACTGCTGGGGAAGAATTCTGACTCAGGAGGAATCAGTCTCACCCATACCTGATCTAGATGATGTTTAGATGAGACTTAGGACTCCGACTAGATGCTGGGTTAAGACTTTGGAGGCTTGTTGGGATGAAGTAAATGCATTTTTTCTGTGAGAAGAACATGAATTCTGGGGGGCCAGAGAACAGAGTGTAGACTGAACTTGCCCTCACAAAATTAATGCTGAAGCCCGAACCCCCAACGGGATGGTATTTGGATACAGGGCCTTCAGGGAGGTAATTAAAGTCGAATGAGGTCATAACGGTGGGACCCTAGCCCAACGGGATTGGTGACCCTACAAGAAGAAGAGGAGACCCTGGAGATACTCTCTCCTCCGTGAAGCACAGAGGAAAGACCAGGTGAGGACACAGTGAGAATGACACCGTCCCTGAGCCAGGAGGAGAGTCCTCACCAGAAACCAAACTTGCCCACACCCTAATCAGGACTTCAAGCCTCCACAACTGTGAGAAGATAAACACCTGCTGTTCACAGCAGTGTGAGCAGACTAATACAGGTGACCCTTGAACAATACGGGGGTTAGTGGCACCAACCCTCCACGCAGTCAAAACTCTGAGCATCGACTTATACTCGGCCCCCCAGACATGGTCCCACCACGTCCACAGTTCCTCAGCACCCACACACTCCACCAATCATGTCGTACTGTAGTGTTCACTACTGAAAAACACCCACGTATAAGTGGACCTGCACAGTTCAAACCCATGTTGTTCAGGGGTGAAGCATACATTACACCTGCTGTTCATCTTTATTCTAGTGTGCTGACCAACTTCCACTCCATCAAATTTTGATTCCAAGGTTACTTCCTCTTATGTCTTACCTGATTCTGCAAGGCAGAACCTGCTACTCCACCATCAACACCTGGCGTCTATCTCTTATTAGAGCCCTTAAATATTGTAACTCAGGTTATCTATTTGCGTCTCTCCCCATGTGAACCTTGAGGACAAACATCATGACCCTCCAACCTTATTCCCAAGACTACCCAACCCACAGGAGTTCCAAGTGTTAGCTGCGTGAATTAGTTAAACCTAGACCACGTTTTTGCCATAAAATTATCTGTTTTATCAGAAAAAAATACATCACTTAACAAAAACTAGAAGTGTGTCACCTTCAAGAAAGTTTTAGGAAATGCAGTCAATCAGTTAACCTAAATGCATCTCATTCAAATACTCACACACGGTAACCAAACACTACTTGTCTTTTAGTCGCAAACTTCTGGCTTGTGAAATAGAGGAGTCCACACACTCTCCCCTACGTCAGTGTCCTGGGCAGATGCCTTCACCTCAAATTCGGAGAAGAAAATAAAGGCAATCAGAGAGGAACTCCTTCATTTGCCCGCCAAACCTCTGCACCTACCTGGAACTCTTTCCGTTCTTATCCCTCTCAGAACCACAGAGGAAACGTCCTTCCCCCCTGACCAGAGCCTCCCACTGCCTGAGCGCTTTGGACGCCCTTCCTGCTCTCGTTACCCCCCAGCAGCCAACACCATCAACTCCACCAAAACAGGGTCCCGGTACTAAGAAAGGCAGGAGGCGACACAGGGAGCACCGCACAGCAGTCATTTAGCTTACTGCCCACACTTGACACAGGATAAAGCTCATTTTCTTCATTGGATGTTGCTACTGGAAAAGAGCAGAGACCAAAACTTGAGTTTCCTAATGCCTGACCCGGCGGCTGACTCCGAATCTCCTCCTGAACATGCCTAAGACTCAGCCACGAACCAAGCTGAACTTCTCATGTTCCCTCTCCCAACCGGCTCCTCCTTCAGATTTGCCTGTGATGATGTCACCCTTCCTGTGTAGTCAAGAATTTGGCCTTGCCCCAAAACGAGGTCTGACTTTTGCCCATGATTCTGGGATGTCATCTGTGTCATACCTGATGGGAGTGTCTGTGTTTAGGACAGGGGATGGCCACACTCAACCTTAGGTGGTGGCCAGAAAGACCAACATGTGGTTTAGGGTGGGGCTTTGGGTCAGTGGCATCAGTGGGGGCTGATATAACCAGGCAGGCAATCAGTCACTCAGACACACCTGCATGAGAGGGTCTCAATAAAAACGCCAAGCACCAAGGCTCACGTGAGCCTCCCTGGCTGTCAATACAAGTATTCCTCCAGCTTTTTGAAAGTCCACTTTATACCACTTCACTTTTACTAAAGACCTACATTAGCACCTATTTTCACTAACCAAAAGAAATCCGAAGGATTGCCACTTTTACGAAAAAGGCCAAAAGCAAAGACAACGTCAGTGCCGGTTCTGGAGTGAGCTGCTCCAGACGCGGTGTGCAGTGCGCCCAGAGCGGAGAGCGTGGCCCCGCCAAGCTCCTTCCCGGGGACCACACTCAGCATCTCAGCATCGGCCACCACAGCTCTGACCTTTGTCTGTGGGCATCTGTGCTTTACCCGATTTATCTTGTGTGTCCGTGAGCCAGATGTGTCCTAAGGTAATTGCTTCTTCCCTTTACGCCTTCTCAGCTCAGGAAAGGTTTCAAAGGAACCATCTACTTTTGGATGGCAGGGGAAACCTGTACTCCACGCACGTTGTCATACATGGAAGCCAGAAGGGGAATGTGTCCCGAGGACAACACACGCTTCACATCTGGAATCTTCCCAGACTGTCCTATGCATGTCTTAAAAGGTTGATTTTAGTCTGTATTCTTTACCTGTAATAGATGGTAACCATGAATATAACTGCTTTTGGTGAGTTCTGAGTCCTTCCAGAGAATTATCAAAGCTGAGGGTGGCTTTAGGAACTCCCCAAAGCTTGCGGGTGGTTTCAAAAGTGAGAGAAGTGCCTCTCGGACTCTGCAGCTGGGCTAACTCCAGGTGCATCCTCCATCCCCTTCTCTCTCATACCCCCCCCCCCCCCCCCCCCCCCCCGTACCTGACCTACCAGAAGATCCTGCCGGCTCTCTCTCCAGAAGACAGGCAGGATCCAATCACTGCTGCTGCCATCCTGTCTTGCCTGGGTTACTGAGCAGACCTCATGTCTCCTGCCTTACCCCCCGCAAAGTCAACCCTCAAAACACCACCCGGAGATCTCTGCAAAATGTCGATCACGTCACTCCACGACCAGAGCCCCAGAACAGCTTCCCACTCCTCGAGAATCAAGGCCAGAGTCCCGGCAACGGCCCCTGATGCCCCGCTCGGCTCGGCAGCTCCGGCCCCTCTACCCGCACCTTCAGCTACTCCCGCCTCCGCCCCTCCACTCCACCCACCCTGCTTTCCTCACTTTGTCTCAAACGTGCCAGACGCTCTCCTGCCTCGGGGCTTTCTAGCTGCTTTTGCTCTGACTGCAACGCTCTTCCCTCCACATGTGTTCACGGCTCCTGCACCTCCTTCAAGCGTCTTCTCGCCCCACCGTCTCAGCAGTGCCTCCCCCAAAAATGTCACGCCCCCAACACAGGCTATTTCCTTCGTCCGCTCCCCTAACCCCTACTGAGCGCACGGCCCGTGAGAAGAAGGAACTGTCTTTTTTATTAATCGCTGTTTCCCCAGCGCCTTGTACAGTATCTGGGACACAGTAAGTATTTGGAAAATAAGTGAATATTTTATTGTTCAAAATATCTGGTCAAACCGTCACTTCTCGTTATTAGTGGATTCGCAAGGAGCTGTTTGCTTCACTTTTAATATACTGCTTCTAAATAAATAAATATCATGTAGACAATCAGTTAAAGCTTATTAAAATCATACAAAATGTAAACTCTCTAGGACTGAAGATGATTTTCCATGCAAAGAACCAACAAATTTCAGAAGAAACTTCAGGAACCCTTTTGTCTGGGAAAGATATTCTGGCTGTTATAAAGATTTGTGGTTTTACTGGCGGTTCTCAGTCATGTCCTAAAGTCAGGAGCTGGCCAACTATTGACTACCCGTGTTTGTAAAGTTTTACTGGCACTCAGTCACGTCCTTTGGTTTATGTATTGTCTGTGATTAGAGCTACAGGAAGAGAGTTGAGCAGTGCCACATGGACCCCTAACCTGAAATATTTACTATCTACCCTTTAAGAAAAGTTTGCTGATCTCTATTTAGATTTACAGATAAGGGAACTGAACACTGACAAAGCAAATTCACCTAACTATATCTGGCTTAATTTAAAAAGCCAAAAAAGACTTTAAAAAATATATTTAAGAGCTAAAATAAATAGCAAAACCACTAAAATGTGTCCTTTCAGCAAGTACACTTTTTCATGACATATCAAGGCAAGAAAGGGACCTAAAAATATACTTTGACTATAGAACACGTGCATTCTAAGAACTCCTGGAACTACAAAAAGTTACTGACCAATTTTATTCCCACCACAAATTGTATCTGATAATTTTTTTTTACTTATTGAAAATTCTGAGACCAAATTACAAGCAGAAACTTTAAAAAACTTATTAGCACCTCGTATATTTCCTAACATAAAAAACAAAATTATCAAGATCCATTTTAACAAAGATAAATGTCTTCCATTAACAGGGACAAATGTTTTCCAAAAAGAAAACTTTAAATGTATAAAAAATGTGCAAAATTTTATTGCCATTACTTTATAAAAACTTAAGGAAGAAGAATTAAGAACGAACTCACTGACAAAGTTTAACTCAAAGATTTAAAGACTGATGCATCAAATCTGAAAAGATATCCAGACAAGGATTTTGCGTCAAAGTGTTGTTTATAAAAATGGAAAAACTGCTAACATCATAAGAATCAAAGCAGTCATCACTAGAAGATCAAATAAATTGTTGTACCCTAAAAAGGAAATGCAATACAGACAAAATTGATGGATATACATTCACTATACTGAAGAGATGTCAACCAGTGGATTACCAAGAATCCCATAAAATATAATCACATTTGTGTAAAATTACAACATGGAATGTTATGTGGGAGAAGGGGCTTTCCGCACATATTTGAGCACATAAAAAATGTCTAGACGGAACATTGTAGAAAAAAGGGTTAATTATGGTTACTGTTCGATGGTGATATAAAAGGTAGTTTGTTCTTTTTTTTTAGATTTTCTTAATCTTCTTTCCTAGACTTTTATGAATGAGTCCTTATTATTATTATTATTGTTAAAATAATGCTATTTCCATTTTCAGGAAAACAAAAATCAAGACTTACCCAACTAAAAGAAGTAGTGCACAAATCACAGCAAATCCAAAAGTATACTTGAATGCCGTTTTAATTTGCTAGATGTCAAGGGAGAAAAAATATTCCATTTAGTAAGACCTTTAAAATATAAAATATTCTCGGCTATAGTGTAACAGCACTTTCATATCCTATGCACATTTATATTCAACTGTGTAAAGCTCCCCTTGTTGAAAAATAAATCTTAAAATTTAAAGAAAAACAATGTATATACCACATCTTAAGTATCTATCAAACTACACTAGATTTTTAAAATCTTTTACATGGTTAGACCTTGTGAAAAGCAGAACACCTAAAGCATAATTAACTCTCCAGTGGGAGAATTAATAGTAATTAATTTACTTTAGTAAAATTACCACAAAATTTAATAAAATATTTCTCAAAACAGGGAGCATTCAGAATCCACAATGCCCCTACCCCAACTCACCAAAATGGGTTCAGTAATAATTAATAATTACAATACATATTTAATTTACATATGTTTGTATGTATATATCATATATAAAACAAACATATACTTATGTATACTTATAAGATCCCACATGCCACAAGGCATGGCCAAAAAATAATAAATAAACAAATAAATGTCACGAGAGGGATGATGGTATCATTAAAAAAAAAAAAAGAAATTAACTTTATGCTTAAATGATGAATTCTTATTCACAAATACCTAAAGTAAAGGTAAGGAGGGTCAACCAAAAGGGATGGGGAAGATGTGCTTTAGAAGAAGTGAAGAGAAGAGAAAGCATTTATCTCATTCAGTTTTCAACAGTAAACTGGTGACCAGCCACTTTACCTTACATACCTTGGGTTTTCAAATGTAGAGTTACATAGTATCTGCAAACAATAATTCGACTTTCTTTATAAATATTTCAGCACAGTATTTTTTTTCTCTAACAAATTGCACTGATTACCACTCTGGGAATCATTTAAAATACTGTTGAAGTACTTTGCTCATGATCTTAATGCAAATGCTTTAAGGTTTTAATAAACAGGGCTATGCATAATGCTCGCTTTTGAGTGAATATATTTGTGTATTTAAATACAAAAAAAAAAAACCAAGGTATAAAACAAACTCCTATAACTCAATAAAAAGACAAAAGAAATTTATTCCTTTTCTGCTATTTTTCCCCTGAAATCAGAAATAAAGTGTTCGATTTTCGCAAATACCCTTCAACATACAATTTCGAGGACCTATTAAATTACTATTTACTAACAGATGTGCCGATTCTAAACCACCACTGCGATCTAGAGATAGGCCCAACTCAGTTATACTGCATTAATGTACTTTTAAGATGCTCCTGAATTCTATCTGCTATCGTTTTAGTGAAGATTTTTCTACCAAGACTTAAGTGACCTTGATCTGCAGTTTTGGGCGTGCACGTGTGCTCTACTAATCAGGTTCCCGTATCAGTGTTACCACGGACTGGTAAGACCAGTCCGCAAATGTCCCTCCTTTATGCCCTAGAACTGGGGTCAGCACACTACATCCTGTGGGCCACACGCAGCCCCCTCCTACATCACATCACACTCGCTGAGTCCTGTCTCTGGCTACTTTCACACTATGACCACAGAGCTGAGTGGCTGAGATAGTCTGTACAGCCTACAAAGCCTAAGATATTTACAACCTGACCTTTTACAGAAACAAGCCTGCTGACTCCTGCTCTAGAACTGCTCTAAAACAACAGTCACAAGTCCCATGTGGTTCCTGAGCACCTGCAATATGGCTGGCTGGAACTGGCATGTGCTGTAAGTGTAAAACGCACTCTAAATTTCAAAGACAGAGTGTGACAAAATGTAATGTCTCATTACTAACAAGTTTTTGACTATTTGAAATAATAATGCTTGCAACATATTACATTAAATACAATGTGTCATGAGAAATAATTTCAACTGCTCTTTCTACTTATTTTCATGTGGGTACTAGAAAATTTAAAATTTCACACGTGGATTGTATTATATTTCTATTAGACAACACTGCTCCAGAATAAATTCAAAGTCACATCACTCCCTGAAAAAGAAGGAAATAATCTTTCCCCCATAAACTGAGATCTCTAAATTAAAGCTACTCACAGTGCATTTACCAGTATCATCATCATCCTTTTCTTCATAGTAGAAGTAGACAAAAGGGATCCAGAAGAACACACAGAATAATATAACAGAATATAAGGCTGTGGAAAGAAATAAGCTGAGTTAAAATAAAACACATGAACTTAATAACTGTTTCATACATATATGTACACACACACACACACACACACACACACACTCCCCATCTGATCCCTAGAACCGTAACTCTATACATATATGTAATATCCAAAATCAGCCTTTTCTGACCCCCATTCCAAGAAATCGACACCACTATTAACATAACAGATCATAATTCAAGTTAACTATGGGGCAATTTTTAGCAATAATCATGATGGTAATTGTGCCGATAAATTGTGGCAGCTAACATCTCAGGTCTCACTATGTACTCACCAGTGCTAAGAACTTTCTGTGAACCATCTCATTTAAATAAACTTTAACTTATGTCTTCCTTCCACCTTAATACTGAGTACAGCTGACACATTTGCCAGTCACTCAAGTTAAAGAAACAACTATAATTGATACTAAATTTTTGACACAAATAATTTCCCTAATCTAAGTTTAAAATATGCAGTGTTATGAAACTGATCTTATAACAAATCAAGATAGAGAAAAAGTAAGAACAGTAAAACCAGGTTCAAAGTTAACTAATATGAATTTCTATTTATCTGCTTTAAAATAACGTTAGATTTGAGATACTTTCAACCAGTAGTCAGTCAATCAAAATATTTCTTTTAATTCAATACAGAACTTAAAATATGAACAGCAAACGATACAGTATCTAAAATAAAAACAACATAAACAACTTTTTGAGACTTAACAAACCTACCTAAGAAACCTGGCCTTAAAACCTTCTGTGTATTTACATTTATTTGCATATACATAAGTTCATGGAAAATAGTGACAACATAATTATATAAAGCAATCACAGGATGATAATCATTATATTCCTTTATTTAAAAAAAAGTATTTGTTAGTAATGTATAATAAACCCCAAATTACTTACTCTCTTGGAAGGGATGACTGTATGAGTTACATTGTTTTTAAACATGATCTAAATACTTGCTAGCACCATCCATCTGGAGGCCACTTACAAAACAGCCCCCACTAGCTGCAACACAGTTAAAAAAAAAACTCAGAACAGGGCCCTAGACAGCTGACAGGAAAATCAGAGTTAATTTATACTGACCAATCACAAAATGACTGTCAGCATGCTGAATTTTGGCACTACAGATATTCAGTGAAATTTATGCAGTCTTTTAATATTATGAGAAACTAATAATGACAGTAAATCTTTAAGGGTAATGAATATTGGTGTTTCTACTACAAACCAGAGAGTAGTCAGTATTAACGTTTCTATTACAAATCTAAGAGCCGGTGGAAATAAACAAGTACTGAAAGAAGTAACCAAAATAAGTATTCTAAAAGCTTCAAAAAATTAAACATAAAGAGAAAGTACTATAAATCACCCTAAACACCATACCAATATTATGATTGAAATAATCAAATAATCTGTACAGAAGAGGAAAAACCCTAAATTAGGACAACATAGTGGGCTGACAACCACATGCCAAAAACTTTGATAAACTGACAGACGCAGTAAGGTTCGGCTTCAGCCTCAGTACATTATTTGTGTCTACTACTTGGTGGCCTAGGCCTTCATACAGCCAAAGAGCCTAATGACTATTTCATAAGCATTCCTGGTGTTCCTGAACTTGTGTGATCAATGACCTTGTAAATGCCTAAGTTACCATGATACTCATTTAGCAGAACAAGGTATAAAATTAACTCCTATAAATAAAATACAAATAACCCACTTTTAAAAGTAGACAAAAGACAGATACTTCATCACAGAAGATATACAAAATGGCCAATAAGCACTTTTAACAGGTGCTCATCATCATTAGTCATCAGGAAGATGCAAATTAAACCTGTAATGAGATACTACAGACCCACTAGGATGGCTCAAATTAAACTGACAATACCAAGTGTTGCCAAGAATGCAGAACAACAGACATTCCCTTTCTTTGCTAGAGGGAGTGTAAAACAGCATAACACTGTAGAAAACCGTTCAGTAGTTTCTTACCAAGTTAAACATATACCTACCATATGACTGAACAATTCTATTCCCCCAGCAATGAAGTGCAGTGACATATGCAAAATCATTCTGACCAGAGAAGCCTGCCTGAGTTGCAGAGTCCAGGGCTCTTATTGGGGACTTAGAATATAGGCACATTTGCCTGAGTGACCAGCTATGATGACCATATACAGACCCCGAGAGGGAAAGCAAGTATTCACCATAAATCACGCACACAAACAAGCTAAACAAGTTGGACTGTGTGGTTCCATGCCGTATTCAGCTGTACAGAACCATTTAGCAATTAGTAACATTAGGGAACATCCAAGGGCCAGGTATTGGTCAAGTGTCAGCCACACAAGCAGGTCCTCCTAAAGATATGTGAGAATTGAACAATCTCGGGTCTGATTCACAACAAGAAAGTTGACAGCAACATTACTAACAGTGATCAAAAACTGGAATCGATCCAAATGTCCACCAACAGGTGAACAGATACACTGAGTGCAACAGTCACACAAGTGACTACTGTACAGCAATAAGAAAGAATAAACTATGAATGCATGTGATGAGGATGAACCTCAGACCTTAAGCTGAATAACAGCAGCACAGACACAAGAATACATCTTCTACGGTTGAACTTAAGGAAGTTCGAGAACTAGCAAAACCAAAAAAGTGGTTGGGGCAGCTCCTGACTATAAAGAGACACGAGGATGTACAGCAACCAAAAATCTCATATGTTGCTGGTAGGAAAATCCAGAAAAGACAATTTCTAGAAACCAACACCTGGAGGAAGGAAGTGGGGAAGACGCAATTCTGAAGAGATGCTTAACATCCCCTCAGCCTGGCACTGCCCTAAGTCTCAGTTTCCCTGACATCACATTCTAAGCTACCTTCTGCTTATCTGACTGTTCTTTCTCAGCGTCCTTCAAAAAGATTTCTTCCTTTAGCCTGTAAATGTTAAACTGTAAAGAAGGAATTAAATTAACATTTTTATGTGTTTCGGATCAGTTCTAATGCCAAGTTGGACTTATATCAATATATCTGTAAATGGGAAAAAAAAATGCTGCTACCACTATCATCAAACAGAGAAATTGCTTCGTTTAAAGCTCTACTTCAGCCTCACAGGCTGCCTCCCTGCAGGGCCTGGGAGCGACAGCCCTCCCCTCGCACCTGACTGGCCTCTGGGGTAAGGAGGTGCTACGCGAAAGGCAATCTGAGGCACAGAGAGGTACACTGCCTGGTCCAAGATCACAGAACTACCGTGTGGCTGACAGGGTCTCGGTGCTCCGGCTGGGTGCCAGGTCTGAGCCTCCGAGGTGGGACAGCTGAGTCCAGGATATTGGACCACTGGAGACCTCCCAGCCCCAAGTGATATCAATCGGCGAGAGCTCTCCCAGAGATCTCCATCTCAACGCGAAGACCCAGCTCCACTCAAGGACCAGCAAGCTCCAGTACTGCACAACCCCTGCCAAACAGCTAGCAAGACAGGAACACAACCCCACCCATTAGCAGAGAGGCTGCCTAAAATCATATTAAGTTCACAGACACCCCAAAACACACCACCAGACACGGTCCTGCCCACCAGAAAGACAAGATCCAGCCTCATCCATCAGAACACAGGCACCAGTCCCCTCCACCAGGAAGCCTACACAACCCACTGAACCAACCTAAACCACTGGGGACACCAAAAACAGGAACTACGAACCTGCAGCCTGCGAAAAAGAGACCCCAAACACAATAACTTAAGCAAAATGAGAACACAGAGAAACACACAGCAGATGAAGGAGCAAGGTAAAAACCCACCAGACCAAACGATGAAGAGGAAATTCGTAGCCTACCTGAGAAAGAATTCAGAGTAATGATAATAAAGATGATGCAGGGCTTCCCTGGTGGCCCAGTGGTTGAGAGTTCACCTGCCGATGCAGGGGACACGGGTTCGTGCCCCGGTCTAGGAGGATCCCACATGCCGCGGAGCGGCTGGGCCCGTGAGCCATGGCCACTGAGCCTGCGTGTCCAGAGCCTGTGCTCCGCAATGGGAGAGGCCACAGCAGTGAGAGGCCCGCGTACCGCAAAAAAAAAAAAAGGATAGTCCAAAATCTTGGAAAGAGAATAGAGAAAATACAAGAAATGTTGAACAAGGGCCTAGAAAACCTAAAGAGCAAACAATGATGAACAGCATAATAAATGCAATTTAAGATTCTCTACAAGGAAATCAATAGCAAAATAACTGAGGCAAAACAATGGACAAGTGACCTGAAAGACAAAATGGTGGAAATAACTACCGCAGAGGAGAATAAAGAAAAAAGAATGAAAAGAATTAAGTAGAGTCTCAGAGACCTCTGGGACAACATTAAACGCACCAACATTTGAATTACAGGGGTCCCAGAAGAAGAAGAGGAAAAAAAAACGGACTGAGAAAATATTTGAAGAGATTATACTGGAAGACTTCCCTAATATGGGAAAGGAAACAGTCAATCAAGTCCAGGAAGCGCACAGTGTCCCACACAGGATAAATCCAAGGAAAAACATGCCAAGACACATATTAATCAAACTATCAAGCATAAAATACAAAGAAAAAACATTAAAAGCAGCAAGGGAAAAAACCAAATAACATAACCCATAAGTTTAACGGCTGATCTTTCAGCAGAAACTCTGCAGGCCAGAAGGGACTAGCAGGACATATTTAAAGTGATGAAAGGGAAAAACTTACAACCAAGATTACTCGACCCAGCAAGGATCTCATTCAGATTTGACAGAGAAATTAAAACATTTACAGACAAGCAAAAGCTAAGAGAATTCAGCACCACCAAACCAGCTTTACAACAAATGCTAAAGGAACTTCTCTAGACAAGAAACACAAGAGAAGGGAAAGACCTACAAAAACAAACCCAAAACAATTAAGAAAATGGTAATGGGAACATACATATCGATAATTACCTTAAATTTAAGTGGATAAAATGATCCAAACAAAAGACACAGACTGGCTGAATGGATACAAAAACAAGA